TTTGCCAAATCCAAATCCAAACCATAGCCGAGCCGAGCGACGACGACGGCGACGACGCGAGGATTCATTCTCTTCAACTCCTTTTAAGAGTTTTAAGAAGTGATTCTATATATAACCACACAAATGTGGTTGTCCCTCACCAATGAGGGACAAAGTGCAAGACAAAAGTTCACTTCTTCAAATTTTTCATTTTCCCTCCATTTTATTTCCCTACATTTCCAATTCACACTTCTTCTATTTTAAAGTCTAATGGCTTAAAGTCCAACAAAATATACTATGGCATGTTTAATACCTTAAGTTTCAAATAAATTATATCAACACAAATATTATGGCTTGTTCAGTACCACATATTTTAAAAATATTCATTTTTTTCTCTCACTAGCAGCAAGCACAGTAACATTGGGGAGTGCCTGCCCGTATATAAATAACTAGGACGTACAAAGTAGGTTATGCCAACCAAATTAATAAAATGAAATTTTTTCCCATAAAAAACTTTTTAGTAGGGAACGCTTTACGATTCCGCTATTCAGTGTGAATCTAGATTATGTGAGTCAGCTGATTTCCGATACCAGCTAAATGGTTAAACTCGACACAAGGAGAAATTCTTTTAAATATCGAGTATGTGACGGTAAAACTTAAACTAGAATTTCAGTTTGTTCTGATAGGATATTGAATTATAAGGTTGTCTCATTTAAAATCATAAACTGCTAAATATAATACACTTTTATTTTATAATATCATCAGCGTTTAATTAAAAAAATATCTTAAAATATTTGTACAAATGGTTCCTGAAGAGTTTTACATGCATGTCCGTCTACCTTTCTTTCTCTTAACAAGAAATAAACATTTTTTATCAAGTAGAGTCTCAATGAGTTATGCTATTTATAACACTAAAAGAAAATGCCAAAATTCCGACTGAAAAATGAGGTCGAAAATTTGCGACAATCTCAGTCGAAAATAACGAAAAAGAATTATTTATTTTTTTCTTAAAATATTTCGACCTTGTACCGACTATTTTGGTCGCTAATTTTGGCGCACAATTGTGGGAGTTAAATTTTCGACCGATTCCGTCGTTCAATAAAAGTCAATATTTCAGAGTTTGACTAGATTTAGTTCTTTTTTTAAATATTCCGACCGATATGCTCGAAAATTGATGTGAATTCCAATGCCTGACTTGTCAGTGCTTTTACCAACCAAATTGGTCAGAGATTTTTTAAACTATAATATTTTATTTTTCGACCGAATCGGTCGAAAATCATTTTAAAAAAACCCCACCCCGTCCCTCTTTTGTTCTCTTCCTCTCTTTCTTCTTTTTCCTCCTCTCATTTTACCTCCGCCTCCCACCTCCCACCTCCGCCCATCGGAAAATGAGCTTCTCCACACTTCAATCATCTCCCCTCTCCAAGAGATTGCTCTTTCTCCTCTTTTCTTCTTCTCTGTTGCGCGGAACCCTAGAATTCTCCATGGTCGCGGCAGAATTCAAGGATCAAACCCTAACTTTTTTTTGTAGCGGCCAGCATCTCCACAAGCTTTGGGTTGTAGAGACCACCACCATCTTCACCTCGTTCAGCTGTAGATTTCTTCATAGTAAGGTTAGTTTTAACTTTTGGGAAATTTTTCTATGGCTTAATTACTAGGAAAATTAGTTAGAATTGTTAGAAATTAGTTGGTAAATTATTAAATTATTCTTGTAGATTAGTCAATTTTTTTGCATAATTGATATTGTAGTTCCCAAATATTTGAATTCCTTTTACTTTATATTAAATAATTATTCTATTTAAATTAAATACCTTAATTTTTATATGCTACTTGAATTCTTTAATTTTTATATGTTAAAATAGTTCAAATATTTGTTAATTATGACTGTTTCTTTTGTATGATAACAATGAAGCCTGTGGGTAAACTTATGGAATGTGATGTAGCTAGTATGATTTTAGTAATAGTGAAGTAAACATATGAAATGATTGTAAAATTAAAGTTAATTAAATATAAGAAATTCATTAGTTTAAAAATGAATTAAGTTTAAGCTTTCCTTTTAGTTTACTAATGTAAGGCCTCGAAAAATTTCGCTATAGAATTTAAGCTTTGGCGGTGTCGAGTTAGACTAAAGTGTTCAGAAGTAGTAAAATTTATCTTCGCGGTGAGCAAGCTCGCCGCGATATGGACTTTTTGGGTTGAGGAATGCACTGAGGAGTGGATTAAAATTATTGACAAAAGAAGGCAATTTTGCGATCCATTTCGCGACCGCAGAACCGTTTCGCGGGCCGCATAATCATCCGACAGTCGAGCAGAGAAATTGTTGAACTTTGAGGGTTGTTTCACGGTCCATTGTGCGATCACATACTTGTTTCGTGGTCCGCACTTCTGTCGCAGGGCTAGGATGAGGAAATTTCGTTGGGCTATTCTGCGGTCACATAAGTGGTCTGTGGACCACAGACCTGTCGCAGACCGGTCCAGTGCAGCCAGTTCCTGGGCATAATTTTCGCGGTCCATTTTGCGGGCCGCATACCTGTTATGCGTTCCATTCTACGGCCGCAGATCTGAGTCGGAGAGTCTATTTTTCCATTTTTATAATCTGGCCCTATTTTGATAAATAACCTTTGAGACTTATTTTTGGACGTTTATCTGATAGTTTTAGATAGAGGTAAGAGCAACTTAGAGAGGGAAAGAGGGAACCTAGCATTCCAATCATCCAATCTTGCTCAAATCTTCAAGAATCAAGGAAGCTAGCCATTCGATTATCATTTATCCAGGTAAGTCCTACTCCTAAGCTTACATGCAAGAGGTTAAGAGTATAAATATATTGTGGGGTTGGAAATAGGCCATGCATGTAACACTAGATTATGGTATATGGGATTAATTAACAATTTTGGGTAGTTTTTTGTTGAAGTTTGTTGAAGGAGGAAGTGATTGTTATGTTGGCTAAACTTTCTCTCTCAGGATTGAATTCCATAGTGTTTCCATAAGTTCAAGTATAGATGGCAGCCAAAATTCCTAATTTCTATATTTCGGGTTATCTCCTATAAACTTGATTATTCCGAATGAGTCTTATGACGAAGGATAGGTATTCAAAGTATGGTATGCCCATTAAAATGGGATGGCTCTGTGTGATGACCCAAAAGGTCATCTCGTGTTTTATAACGCAATTCGGAGTTCCGAGGCCTTCAAAATCTCATCTTACTTTTTCTCGATTTGCGTGCGTACTCCGGGCGCATTTCCGGAAAGCTTGTATGTGAAAATTTGAGAAAATAATAATTTTTGCCTTTAAAAGTGATTTTAGCTGATTTGATCAACATTTTGAGTGAACGGACCTGGATCCGTAATTTGACGGTCCTAGAGGGTCCGTAGTAAATATGGGACTTGGGCGTATGCCCGGAATCAAATTCCAAGGTCTCTAGTCCGAGTAATGAATTTTTATTAAAAATTGTTAAACTGAAAATCTAAGGATTTAAAGAAATTGAATAATGATTGATCTTGTTGGTATCGGGCCCGTATTTTGGTTCTGGAGCCCGTTACAGGTTTAATATCTTAAGTCATGTTTGTGGAATTTGGTGAGAAACATGACTAATTTGACGTGATTCGGATGTCCGGTTGTGAAATAGAAATTTCAAGTGTTCTTAAGGATTTCATGTGTTTTGGTGTTAAATCCGTAGTTTTAGATATTATTTTGGCGATTTGATCGCACGAGCAAGTTTGTATGATGTTTTACGACTTGCGTGCATGTTTGGTTTGGAGCCCCGAGGGCTCGGGCGAGTTACGGATAGGCTATAGAGTGATTTGGAACTATGAAATTATTGCTGGTATAGCTGAACTTGTTCCAGGCCTCAAACCTCGCAAATGCAAGGTCAAGGATCGCATTTACGACTACTGATGAGGTCGCATTCGCGAGCTTCTCATCGCAAATGCGAAGAGAAGCTGGGCCAGCCCATGTTCGCAAATGCGAACAGCCCTTCGCATTTGCGAATTGGGTCTGGGGGAGGGACCTTCGCATTTGCGACCAAATGGTTTGCATTTGCGATAGCAGCAGAAATGCGACAGGTTCGCATTTGCGATGCCTTTCTCGCAGGTCGTAAATGCGACATCTACAGCTGATAACTTTAGACTTAGACGGGATTTTTCATTCCTTCTCCCAATTTTCAAAATCTAAACTTCAAGAGGCAATTTTCCTAGGGCTATTTCTTCCCCAAATCACAGGTAAATGATTTTTAACTCATTTCTTTCAATTTATTACATCTTTTTACAAGATTTCATCCTAGAATCTAAGGTTTTTCATTGTGGAATTGGGTGCTTTTGGGTAGAACTTAGGAATTTCGAAATTTGCTAGACGACATATAAATATCATGACTATTATAAGTTTAATCTTCTGACTTCAATCGTTACGAAAATACAGGAAGGCCAAATATTTGGATAACCCTTTAAACTTGGCACCAACGTTTAGTTAAACACTTTAACTATCCAAGTGACTAGATAAACACCTCTTGTTGGCATAAGTGTGTCTCGCAGACACCCCGTGCTGACATGGCTATTAAAGGAGCTAAATATAAAATAACATGACTATTAATTACAAGTTTAATCTTATGACTTCCATGGTTGAGAATAAACAGAAAATAGTATGCTCTATGTGTCATTCATGTTAAGCTATAGAAGATCATCATCTTCCTCTCTATTAGGTTGTTGTATTTGCTGTAAATTGGTATATATTCTCTAGACAGATTAGCACTTCAGCCCAATAGACATGTCATTAGTTCATCTCAAGAGTAAAAGTTCCCTATTCTGTGCATTTGCAAATTAAGTTCCGCATTCAACTTTGACAATGAATGTAGATATAGACAAGTAGCACAAATGAACTTTTCGTTCATCCTTAGTTGGCCAATGTTGTGTTAATCTTGATCTACAATCCTTAATAAAAATGGTTTAAGTTAATGAGATATTAGTCATCTTGAGATCTATGTATTCCGAACGCCTTTAAGCACATACATGTATGCTGCAGAAAATAAGTTTTAAGTAAATGGGTGCATCCGTGCATGAACAAACACTTCAACAGAGCCACAACAGTTCATTTGAATAAAAGAAATTTATTTTCATATACAAGATCACACTTGCTGATCAGACCCAGACAACCCCAGCAGAAATTACAAACAAATGACAAATTGACAAACGAAAGAACAATACAACAGAAATGAAAAGGATATTCCCCCTATGGCACATTGAAAGATACCAAGTGTTGGCAGCTAACAAATGGCATCAAGAATCACTGAGACAACAGACAGCCCAGCTAACTTCCCCCAGCGGATCTTCACAATACATTTTCAGGTTTCTTTACCCTAACTATGAGGAAAAGAGACCCTACCACCTTCACATGACTTCACCAAAAATAAGAAGTTGGCGTTATTTGTCTTCTGACTTCTATTATAGGTTTTGCTTTGTAAATTTTATTTATTACTACTCTTGATCATTCTTAAGTGGAAGCTACTTGTTGGAGCACCTGTGTACAGCTTCAAGTACAAGGTGGGGAATTGGATTGTCTTCCCCTCATTAGGAGGATGCCTTTGTGACATCTTTGGTAGATCTGTTGTATTTCATGTGGCTCTTAACCAGCTGCCCAGCTGAGATAGCTGACATGAGGGATAACTCCCCAGCAAGAACAGAACCAGCAACTATTGTGGCCAAGAGTCTTGCATTTGACCCTGGTACCTCTCTGTTGGCACCTTTCACTCCCAATAAGTTCAAGCAAGCTGACTGAGAAGCAAGCTGAGTTCCACCTCCAACAGTACCAACCTGTATCCCATTAAATACACAATAAATATAACAAGAAAGTGAAAGATTCCGGAGAAACACTTTAAATTGAACTGAGGACTGTTCACATGTATGGACCTATGTAATGTTTTCTCTTTTGCATAAAACTCATTAGTTTTGATGATTTAGAAAGAAGGACGAAAACAGAATCAGAAATTTGTATTAAGAAAATATTAATCACATACCTCAATGGAAGGCATTGTAACAGAAACATGGAGGTCCTTGCCATCATTTACAGCCTCCATCATAGTGATACAATGAGAGCTCTCTATGTTCTGAGCTGGGTCCTGACCAGTTGCTATATACACAGCTGAGACGATATTGCTGGCGTGGGCATTGAAACCACCAAGTGCACCAGCCATCGCAGAGCCAGTAAGATTTTTAAGCATGTTCAGCTCCACAAGAGCAGCAACCTCAGTTTTAAGAACTTTCTTCACCACCTCTTCCGTGATAATTGCCTCACAAACTACAGACTTTCCTCTCCCCTCAATCCAGTTAACTGCTGCTGGCTTCTTGTCCGAGCAAAAGTTCCCTGTCACAGTTATAGATAACTTCAATTAGACAAACATCTCCATTTCGGTGGGAACAAAAGCGGGTAAAATATTTTCGTGATATTCTTAGGTATTAAAGATCACAATAATGTCAAGTTTTTAACCTGTATGGAAACATTATTTTTCCTTTTTGGTGGAAAATGTTTTTCAGAAAGAAAAAAACATTTTCTTCGGAGAGAATATTTACTACAATTCAAGAAACCAAACGCTAGATAAGAAAACATTTTCCACCCGTGCGAAACACACATTCACAATAACCAGAGATTTCTGATAAATTCCATTAGCATTTAACAGAGACCATACACAGCAGAAAAATAAAGTGTAACACATGTTTCATGCAGTGAATATACAGCTTTTTTCATGGATTTAATTTACTATAATCATATGAAGAGATATAATTAAGCTAGCATTGGGTGTAAAATACGTGGGATATCTTTAATGAAAAACTAAATGGTAGGTGGAATACCAGATATGCCGATGACATCCATGTCGGG